ATAACCTTTTTTCCTTGCTTCAGACTTTGGGTGTCCTCATAACTGGGACAGGGAGTTATAGGACAGATAGTTTTATATTTTATAGGTCTGTCTGCAAATAAAAATAGAGATGTATTATCTTTCATCACTTGAAATTAAATGCTCGGTTGGCATTAAAAAGATATATCCCATAGCAAATAAAACTCCTCAGATAAGCTGACATTTTTCCCCTCACAAAGAGGGGCCAGGTTTGATCCTATCCACAATAACCAGCCGTGTATGGACAACCTGAGCTGTATCTCTCCTGTTAGCAAAGCCGGGTGCAGGAAGCAGGCATGAGGTAATATGAGACAACAGCTCTTTAACAACTATTGGGGTCCTATTATCTCCTGCCTTTATGCCACAGGCCAGTATTTACTACATCTTTCTTACTTTATTTTTAAGGCAATCCTTATCTCTTCCACCCTATGCATTACTTTGCTTCCTCAGATCAAGAGACACCTGATGGTTTGGAAGAGCCCTCCTTCTACTTCACTCCAAAGCTTTCATAACTGCAACTTTCCTCCCACTAGTGTATTTACAATAGCTGTAAGGGAAGATTATCTAATACAGCTTATTTAATTTTGACCAGGGCATTACAAATAACATTATCTTGATTCTCGGTAAACATTAAAAAGGATCACTAGGAGAGCTAGTGAAATATTTTTAAAACTGTTTGTAGGGTGTTGGTTTTTTTTCACAAATAAGTTCATTATCAAGATATGTAGCATTTGACACTTAAAAAATGAAAAAAAAAAATCCTTTGAACATTCTTGTAATTTAATGTTTTTCAGAAAAGTTTCCTGTTTTTTTCTGGCCAGTGTCCTTAAAACAAGATTATTTTCCATTGATTCCTATACTATGTTCAATTTTAATTTCCCACTCACAAATAAGGTCAACAGGTGTCCTGCTATGCATAAAGTTAGACACATCTAGAGTGGTTTGCAGGCTCAGGGCTTTAGACATTAAAACTTTGTCCACAATCATCTGGAAAGCCAGGGATCCACTTCTATTTATACTGTGAAGGTTTTGCCAAGGATATCACATTTCTTTAATCCCAGTTTCCTGGAAAGGTGCTAACACTTTCCCTGCGGAGTGTGGATAGCCTAAAATGTGGAGGCAATAATCAGTGGTTGATGGCATACAGGCTTGTGTTTGAAGAAGCTCATTACCATCCCTGATCCTCAGCCTTCCTATGCCCTGTGTGCTGCTGGGACGTTTATTGTGGTTGCTGTTTCAGCAATTTAGTCCCATATTTCTAATGCATTAGTATAATGTGACAATGTCTGGACTACAAATACTCTGGAGGAATGCACGAGAGCTACAAAAATAATTACAAAATGCTTTAAATCATAGTATTTTAACTCACATTTATAGATAATTTACTTCAATCCCTGTTGCAGTATGCAAAAAGCTTTTATTTTGGAAATAAGATCAGTTCTCTTTGAGTTCAGAAGTCTTTCCTCCTAGCATGAAGTTGCTGTAAAAAGCCTTGAAATACTTTTTGTCAAGTAGAAGAGGGAACGGAAAGAAGTTGCCCAAATGGCAAGTGCTGTGCAACAAGCAGTGAGATATCAGCCACCCTTCCTAAGTTGCATCATCTTATTTCCTGGGACTTTGTTGAAAGTCAAACCTAATTTCTTTGTCATCTGGAGAAAGGCTGATGGTACAGCCACATTGTAACTTCAGGAATTAAAAAAAGTGGTAAGTCTATTCAAAGAAATACTGGATTCTTCTCCTTTGAATCCTAGTCCATGAGCTCTTCATGAGCTCAAGAGCTCCTTCATAACATTAACCTTATTCTCTACATTCCTGCAGGAAAAAAATAAAGTTTTTGACAGGTTTTAATTTGAAGTCATAAGAACCAGCAGCTTAGACTTTAATGAAGAAATGCTAGCAATTAAATATTTTAGCAACAGTGATAGGGTGATAGTTAAAAGCCGAAGTGCACTTAGTGGGGTATAAAAGGGTGCAAGGGGAGGCATCATAAGCCAGTTGTGTTGGGTTTCAAGAAGCCAACCAGTTGTCATGTCAGTCACACACAGTCTGCTGCATTTAAATCGGAGGTCTAGAATTACTTTAGAGCCTGGCTGATGAGACAGTAAAAAGGTCACAATTCTGAAATCTTGGCTTCTCTTCCAAGAGATCATTTTACTGAACCTCTGCCATGCTCACCTCGCACAGAAAGAATATTTTTCATAGTCAGAAAATTGACATTGATTATCTGATCAAGCAAAAGATACTATGGCAATTTTTCCACATTATATTCCCATTGCATCTGTCTAACAAGACAAGATTTATATTTTCCTTGGCTGTTATTCCTAAAACTTCATTTCTTTCTTTGTTAGAAAATTCAAAATGATCATGCCCTGCTTTTCTGTATTCTTTGTCACTGAATTTCTTTATATTGTATGATCCCCATATCGTGTTGGAATGCATCATCTGTTTCACTCAAACTACAAACACAATTTCAGATCTCTCTGGGTTAGTCCTAGCTGGTCACTTGTTTTTTTCAGTGGTCCAGCCAGTAGTTCTTGACCACTGACAGAAGGTCTTTGATATTATCTATATAACTAAATCTCAGCGACCAACACCATCTACAGATGAGTGATAGCAGAAAAGGAATTGAGGGGTCTCTGGCTCTTCCACCCTGCTGTGAGTGTGACAAACTGCAGTCAATTTGGTGCTGTGGCTCTCGTAGGAGTGAAGGGACTTTTCCTACATTATTCCAAAGGAACGGTGATGATTGACATCAGATCTGGTCAAAAGTCAGGATTTCTGTTCTGCAAGAAACACATTCTGTTTCAAAACAGTTCTTTAAAGACTTTATAAATTTTACTGATGGTTGCTAAATACCCCCCAAAATATATTCAAAAGCGTTCTGATTCTCAAAATGAAAAATATTAATATCTTTGCCCCGATTTACCAGGTTTATCTGTCCCTCCAGGACACCTAACTAGCCTAGAGGACAAGCAGGAAGCTGGGAGGCTTACATGTCACTAATAACATTGTAACTTGGACTCAAACCCCAAATCTTCTCCTGCAGCAGGAAGAGAGGCTGCAAGTTGTGAGTGCCCGGGGTGAAGGTGGCTTTTTCGGGGCTCCTGGTCTGCCTGCCTTATGGCTCAGTTCTCCAGAGCAGTGGGCTGAAGCTTTTTAGTGTCTGGTGCCAGGTTTGGTTTCCAAAGCCTCAAAACTTACTGACATCAACCCTGAGTGTGTTTCAGTGCTAAACAGGGCAGTAATTTATCACGGCCATTCCAGACCATAGCAGCCAAGGCAACGGCAGGCCTTCCTCACCCCAACAGGGTGCTGAAGGCTTGACACAAGGCTGGTTACTGAGGTCTTCAGACTCTCTGCTGCAGAACTACAAGTTAAAACCTGGCCAAGTCCAGCATACCTAATATTTCCAGCTGATCTATTAGGTTTGCCATCTTCATTTCTCATATAGTTTGTATAGCAAGGTTCCCCAAGGACCATAAGTTGTGCACCCTCCAAACAGCAATTTAATGGCGTAGTGAAACACTGATACCATCTTAGTAACCTGGGTAGGAAATTCATGAGGTGAAACTGTCTCTTTCAGGAGAAGTTTGTGGTGGTAACATTTTCCATTCTGACAAAACATAATTCCCGCTCAACAACAAAAAATTAACAGAAAATTGCAGTCCACCTATAACTGAGACTCACCTAAAAGCTGAGACATTCCTAGGCATCCATGCCACAAGTTTTACAGGTTTTAACATTACTTGCACAATAGTATCTGAAATTCCTGACGTCAGCTGTGGACATCTGCAAAGGCAGATATCAGTAGTTTCCTATTACTGAGAATAGTCTGTAAGAAAAACAGAAAAATGTCAACAGGTTCCATTTCTGCAACTCAGGATGACAAGGCAATGCTTACATAGTCTATGGTAAACCTTATTTTATATAGAAATAATTACTCCATACGCTCAGTTCAAATGGTTACAAATATAGATAATACCACAACTATTTAACTACGCTGCAGTACTTGTCAGGCATATGATCCTAAAAATACAATCCTGCTTTCAAGCACGTATGAGACAGAGTTTAAGCCAGGAAAAAATCCCATATGTATTAGTTGAACTTAGCTTTAAAACAGAGAGTCAGAGCATGGTATCTTACTACTGAAGAAGTGATTGTGTGTAAATATTCTTGAACTACAAGATAGATAGGACCTGCTTCAGGAGAAAACTTTGGAAGTTGGACTTCAATCAAGCACTTAATCAGGTATCAGTCCCCAAGAAGATTGCCTTTACGATTCCCAGCAGTACCAAAATGGCTTAAGGCCATTCCCAAAACTTCTGAAACTGGTAGGACTTAGTAGGCTTTGGACTTCCTTTTTTATTAATGAGAGCATTGCTAGTCATATTAATGTAATATTTAAGAATATATTGATCATCTTGTTGCATATTGATACTGTTATTTGTTTTCCACCACAAAAAGCTACTGAGATTGTCTATTTTTTAGTGAATGTCAAAATTAATGTTCTAAAATCTACTCATTGTCATAAATCATTGACATGGATTTTCAAAAATGCTGAGTGTCCATTGCTTTCTGTGTAGTCTGCACTTTTATACCATAATTATCCTTGGGATTGCGAAGATTTAGTGTAAAGGTCTTTGGACAACATTTCAACAGTTAGAATGATGTATATTTTAATTTGGCATCTAACTTTCATCTATCTTAATATAAGTACTGAATCTAAAAGTAAACCAATTGCAAACCACACTGTTTCCTTATTGCAATCCTTTCTCTTATCACAGTTTCTCATGCCATTCTGAAATCATATGAAATCAATAAAGGTTGGTTAGAAAATATTACTGTCTTTACTGTTTAAGCAGGCATATAAAAGCCCAGATGTAAGTTAGAAATTCAGAAGAAAATCAAATCAGAGAACTTAACACCTTTCATTAGCACCAGTAATTTCTCTTTAAAGATGACTGCCTTGCAAGAAGAAGAAAATGGCAAGTTTGAACTGGACTTATCAAGGCAACAATGGTAAAAGCTATCTTTGATAGAAAATCAGATTTATTTATAATGTATTTAATATTCCTTTCTTTTCCTTATAAAAATTCTTCAGAATTACATGGATTATTAATATATCGAGTATCTGTATTATGTATACAAATGATTCTAAGGGAAAGTGTCATGAATTCAGTATTGGTACAGAATTTGAAGTAGGAAACTTCCAGTATTTATTTACTTTGCCTAGGACCTGACCATTGGCACAAGTTATACCCTATTGCCAACGGAGACCGTCAATCTCCTATTGATATTAAAACCAAGGAAGTCAGAAAAAGATGCATCTCTGGAGCTTCTCCAGGTAATTTGGAAACCTTCCACATGCAAAGAGATTGTCAATGATGTTGGACATTCATTCCATGTGAATTTTGAGGATAAGGACAATCAATCAGGTTAGTAAAAAGGGGATCTGGAGAGGGGGGACATGAGATGCTTTCTCCATTCTCTTCTTCTCTAATTTATGAAGAAAACAAGACTAGTTGCCTTTCAAGAGTATTTTTATAGAGTTGCTTGCTAATTTTGTTATACTAGCTGGCAACACCATTTAAGTATCACAGAAGATCCAAATTATGTTCTTTAAAATTAGGACTTGTTGGCAAGTGTTCTTGTGCTAATGGCAAAAGGACTGGTAATTTCCCAGTAGGAAACCTCCAGGATAATCACTGATTTGGGGAGGGGAAGGTAGGAGAGAGTTTCTAAATACAGTTACTCAATTGTGCTGGGGGTTTGTTGTGGTTTTTTTCAATCAACATGGGGTGGGAGATTTATACTTATGTAAAGTGACAGTATAACTCCATATGGAATCACTCGGGACTAGGTTTGCCTCCTCAGAGAGTCTTATTACCTTGATAGCAAAGGAGGAGATTTCTTTGTGCTGATGTGTAGTATTGCAGATGCTGCAAGAACTCCAGGCACGTATATCTAAGCATCATGCACAATTACAGGTGCCTATCACCACACTGGTAATCAATACATATTTATGTGCTTGCAAGCAAGCAATTGATGGTAATGACCAATAAACAGTGTCAATAACATCCAAGTACACCCGGGGCATCTCATAATCTAAATTCAGAAAATATCAAGTACCTATAACTGTTACTTCTGTGAAGAAAGACACCTTTAAAATACTGTCATTAATAATACAAATTTTAGTGGGAAGTGAATTCCACGAGGTAGGACTGTTTCTTCTGCAGTTTTTAAAATCCAGTTACTGTTTCTGGATTTCTGCATTACTTTTCCTTTTGTTTTCTCTCTGGAGTAGAAGGTGTATTCACATATATATTTTACCTGAATTTTTGGAACTGTATCAGGGAGACATGCAGGTTTACTATAACTAATGCACCCATATACATACCTAGAATTAAAACCTTCAATAACTTTAGCTTAACTGCACAAACAGTTGGGAGTTTTTTTCTCCAAATGTTTAAAAATAATCTAATATGAAAACATGTTAACATGTTAACATGGAGAAAACTGCTTGCACGTTATAAAATCTTTGAAATCTATAACTTGGCTGTCAGGAAGACTTTATTGATTGATGTTTTTACCTTATTTCATGCATTTTGCAGTGCTGACCGGCGGACCTCTCACTGGAACGTATAGATTGCGGCAGTTTCATTTCCATTGGGGCCAAACCGATGAGCAAGGCTCAGAGCACACAGTGGATGGAACGAAATATGCCTCAGAGGTAGAGTCAATGAAAGAAAAGTCAAAGTCATGTGTTCAAAGTCTGGTCACATACATCATCCCTAGGAAAAAAAATGCATACGTAGATAACTTTGGTAGTTATTTTATTTTGCAAAGGCAATAATCCCATCTCTAGGTGTGCGAAGTTGACTTTGCAAAAGCAAATTGGGTTTTGTGGTCAGTACTTATTAATCTAAATTTAGATAATCTAAATCCATATTTAAATAACCAAATAGGGCTGAAAGGGGAAGGTACAAAAATAGGTAACGTCTGCTAAATGTTAAAAAGTTAAGCTGTACAAGTATATTCATCTTAAAACTAAATCAGCTGCTTTTTAGAGTCTGCTCACCCAATGCCCCATTACAATTGTAGCTGAAGCTCCTCACAGGTACAAGCATGCTGATCACTGTAAGGTGGGCTTTTTTTCTGGCTGTTTAAGAACAGCAAATAAGAAGGAAACCCAGAAGAAATTAATGAAGAGAAAGAGGTAAAAAAAGTTATCATCTAGCAAGGGCCCCAGCAGCTGTCAAGTACACTAAATGTCTTCAGATAATGAAGCAAGGTCCATTTTACAAAAATTAAAAACCACCTCTAAAGTAACAGATTTTATTTGTTTTCCGGTGTCTTAGTGTCCTGCTAATAGTCATCAACATGCCAAAAACCAATTCATGTTCAATCCATGTAATGTTATCTTTGGCAGCTTTTTAGATTTTACAAACATTACAACATGACAATCTAATGAGATGGATTATACATTTTAAATTTGAGCATTAGGAACACACAGCCAAAAGAGTGTTCCTAATAGGAAATTTTCCGCTGTTGAGAATACTAAAGCTATCTCATTTGATACCGCCAAGATAAGAAAGGGGTGTCCCTTTAGAATTGCTTTCTGCCGTAAAATGATAGTGCACTTCAGCTGTGTTTAAGCAGCACGTGATTAAGTGTTTATTAGTTTGCTTTGAATCAATAGTTTAAAATATGTGGAAACAGTAAAGATGTTAAGTTGAAAAGACAGCAGTTCAGCTTTAAAAATACCAGGAATTTTTAAAAAATCTGATGTAAATCAGAATTTTAAAATTATGTGCATTATATGGTAATTTCCATATTCTGTCTCTATATTTTAGAATCTCCTCCTTCTATTTTAAACAGTTTTGATATTTTCTATGACCATGTTGCTGAAACATTATAGAAATAATCCTGAACTATTGCCATAGAGTTACATAGTTGCTAAGGAATTGCTAAGCATATTCATAGGTGAGAAGGCATTTAAAGAAATTATTATTATTTTCAAGCTCTGTAAGTTTTTGGAAATTTGTATTTCACACGAAAAATAGCTCAAGATATGTTAAGCAACATACTAGGATGAAAAAGTTCCTCAAAACTCTATTAAAGCAAATACTGTGAAACTGAAAAGTTGTTGAAATATCTATGTTGAATATAAACAACCCACAACTATGATGTTCATGGCCATACCATCAATCTTTTGCAGTAAATGGGACTATTGTGAATAAATATTGCACCATGTGTAATAAAGTGCTTACACTCCTCAAAATGCTATTTAATGTAGTACATTTTTAAAGACATGGAAATACAGGCATGCACAGGAGACTGTTAGCAATAGGGTTAGAAAAATATACGTCCCTTGTAAGTTGTGATTTTCCACATCTCTGTTTATTACCCCTAAATTGCTTTCAGGAATACGTGCAGTTCTGCCTACCCCTAGATAAAGCCTGAGCATGAGTCCTGACAATGCCAGGGCAATTCAGCAGAACACCGTAAGCCAGCAGGAGTTCACAAAAACATTCTCAGTTCCATGGTCAAACCCTAAGAGTGCAGAGTGGTGTTTCTAGCTATTTTACTCTACTTGCAGCATTTCTTTGTAATACAACCAGCAAAAATGATCCTGTCAATTGCTTTTTAGCTTCATCTTGTTCACTGGAATGTGGACAAGTATTCAAATGGAGCTGAGGCTTTCGACAAGCCGGATGGCTTGGCGATTGTCACTGTTTTCCTGAAGGTCAGTCACCGACATACTGAAAACACATGCGTCTCTCTTCCCTTTCCTTATCGAAACTGCAGTCAGTGATGAGGACTAGGAAAAACTTTGTGTTAAAACAGTGGAGGTGACTATCTCTTATCCTGATTTAGCCCATATTGCCAACTTTGCCCGAGCTTCTACATGGCTGTTTTACCCAAATCCCCATTTTATCCACAGAGCCTGCGAGAAGAGCTATACTTTAAAGCATGGGCACTAGTGAGCTTGTGGTGTTTCATCCACCGTTTTAACAGGCAATGCTCATACCTTTTGTGTTGGCTTTCCACTCCATTTACAGCGATGTGAACTTTCACAGAAAGGCAGCTTGAATCATGTGTGCTATTACTGCCTATCAATCAGAAAAGAAAATTCTGAATCAGAACTCCAAGAAATCTTGAATCCATGCACATGACATATTTAGCCTTTCAAAACCAACTGAGGCAGTAAAAATAATGCCTTAGCATTAAGGACTTTGTTATATTAAGAAAATATCATAAAATAATATTATATATTATTATATGCTGCTAAAATATAATTACTCATAGTTCACATTGCAAAAAGGATACCAGCAAAACTATCCCTCTGAATGCTTTCAAAGCAAATTTCAAGGATAAGCACATATGATCAAAGCAATCGTATACTTCTGAAACACAGATTATTTTCACACTACTGTTTGCATTAGTCTGCAACGACAGAAGCAAAATTTCCTGTTATTTCCTCAGAAGTTCTCAATTTTGTCTCATTCATAGTGGGTTTGCAAAGTTAAACTAAGCAACATTTATAAAGCATATTCTTATTCTTGATTCTGTTAGAATAAAACTATTGTTACTTATTTAGGAATTTTAAGTATTTTTTTTTTTTTTTTTTATTTACAGCTTGGCTTATGCAATGAAAACCTGAAAGGTGTCTTGAAGGCCTTGGATTCAGTAAAGACTAAGGTAAACACCATGACAGCCTGATCATGATAATATACAGAGTAGTTAAATTAAAATCTACGCAGTCTCTCATCTGACTTCAGAGTAATGCAGGGGTTCAGATGAAGGAGGCTGTTGAACAACTGTGGGAGCCGAACGCATGATCCTGGACATGATTTTATGGGATCCCATAAAATATTTTGTATTGTTGGGGCTCCACCCTGTAGATAGCTATGGGCTTTTTGTGTAAGAGTAAGAGTACACAGTTCCTGATTCCTACCTAATCCTACGCTTCCGTGCATCTGTCTATTTTAAATTACCCCTGATGTCCATCACCAGCACAGCTTCACAATAACTTCATTAAAGGAAGGGAAAAAAGGGAAAAGAGATAACACTAGAACTGCACTTTTCTTAAGCTGTCTTGTAAGGCAGTGACTATTCCCACTAAGCATCTCATAAAGACATAAGATAAGCAGAGAGAGAATCTGAGTATCTGAATTTTGTGGAGCATGTTAAAAATACAATACAGCATCTCCCACAGGATTTTAAAAAGGAATGTAGGTTTTCACCCTGAACATACAAACATTATCAACATGTGTGAATCCTCCCTTTAGCCTCAACAGACAGCTGAAAATTAATTATACACTGAAGTGTTTTGCTTGTTCAGGAACACAGAGTTCAGTATAAAAAACCACAAAACTAAACACAACCCTTTAGTCAGTGACGATTGAATTCTTTGGCATCTGAAACCATTTGGGGGGGAAGTTGGTTTTTGGTTGGGGTTTTTTGAGTAACACTGCTCATTGTCAATGGTGCCAGCCTAGATGTGTCTCAGTGTCAACACCAGGGCGAGCAACTCACCTCTGATGCTATGAGAAAACACTAATCTTTTCAAATTATCTCCTCTGATTTAGGAACACACTCCCTTGTAGCCTAAGACATAAATCCTACCTTACTCATGGGTTTCATTAACCCAGCATATCTTCCACAGGGTAAGCAAGCTCCTTTTTCTGATTTTGATCCTTCAAGCCTACTGCCTAAATCCATGGATTACTGGACCTACAATGGCTCTCTGACTCATCCTCCCCTCCATGACAGTGTCATCTGGATTATCCTTAAAGAGCCAATTACTATCAGCTCAGAGCAGGTACGGTATGACAAGGAACAAGACCCTTCTTATCTTTTACCTTCAGGAACATTATCACTTTACATTGTATTGCTGCATTTTATTAGGCTTATTTGTCCCATTTTTACCGTAAAATGAGTACTACCTTTACACCAATTGTAAATTGCTCTTAATAAACACTTACGATTCTGCCTCAGCTGAGTTAGGCTACTCACATCTTACAAAGCCTTGTGGGAATTGAGATAAGATGACTTCAGATTGGCGGAGTTGCTGCCATTCCTCCAGGAAAGGTGATTTGCTTATTGAAACTTCTTTGCAGTGCTGTGTCTCCCAAAGCAGCAGTCAGGCAGAAAGCTGACATCTTCATTCCTACAAGACTCCCCAAAAGAAATTCGTGTTCTCATCAAATCTCAGCCAAAGACCTGCCTGAGCAGGAAGTTTTGTAATGTGTCACGATCAAATAGCCAGAGAATAGTTCTCCATTCAGTGCTATCACGGAGTGGTTAGGAGCTGCACCAACTGCTTTATTATTGCATTATTTCCTAATAATGTCTGTAGGACAAGCTAAATGTCCCTCATTGGCCTTATTGAGGTAAGTATTCTTTCTGTTCTAAACTCTCATGAAACTGTCTTATGCAGTTAAATTATTGCCACCTGTCCTTCCAAAGGTGTTTGAATTAATACCTTTCCAGATAAGGCTACTTTGAATCTTTGAAAATAAGAAATAAATTTGGTATTATGAAGATCCTTAATATTTGTTCAAGGTGTAATTAACTGGCTATTCAATGGATAAGGGACAGAAATTAAATACAAATAGGTTGGCATAAAAAGCAATGTTTCAACAAAGTTAAATTAGTTCTATGGCATTGTATTTACTTTCACAATTGGTGAGATTTTTAATTTATCAAACCTCAGTTTTTTTACACAGGTGACAACACAATGGTACCAGCAGTGTCTGAAAGTTTCTATGATAGTTGGATATAAGGGTGAACAGGATATTCAAAGACAGTTGTTCATTCCAGTACTTCTGTGGCAGCATAAATCCTGACTCACCACTGGATTAATTCAATATTATGAAGCTTAATTTTTTTAAAAAATAGCAAGTTAGAGGGGAAGTATAACAATTTCTCAATGACATGCAATATAAAAGTGAAAAGCTAAATATATCTCCTCCTTCCTTGCCCCATTTAGCTGGCTCAGTTCCGCACAATCCTGTCTTCTGCTGAAGGGGAAGCACCTTGTCCCATACTGAGCAATTACTGGCAACCCCAACCGCTGAAAGGCAGAGTGGTGAAAGACTAATTCCAGACAACCAAAGCAAATCTGGAGCACGGTCTGCTCATCAAGAGCAACACATCCAAACAAAGACTATGGAAAAATGTACCAAATATATGAGAACATGCATGTGTTCTCAGCTGCAATATCCCTGTCCTGGCAGAAGCTGTTGTTATTCACTATGGCATTCGGCTGGTGCTTTTACTGGAATTAATCTATATTCTTTTTGTGGTAGGCAACTATTCTAACACATGAATTTTAACAATGAAATGTACTTAAAATTTTTTAATGAATCTTCACATTCCTTCTGATGTACTAAATAAACAATGGTGAAAAGAAGCAATTCAGAGTGAAATTAGTCAGTATTCAGCTTCCCATAAGGAGAGTTTATGCTACAGTATGAGATGTCTGGGTTTTTTTGCAATGAAATTGCTACTGCTAGTGGCAATTACTAATGGGTTATTGTTGATTTGGCTAATAAAAACTATTTCTTTTTCTAGTTTAGCTGATATACACCTGATTAGAATTAATAAAGGAACCTCTTTGAAATGAAAGTGCTATGCTATCAGTGTTTTAAACCAAATTCTGTGATAATTGCTGGTTTATTTCACTTGCAGATCTAATAAAGAATTATTAGACGTATGCCCATGGAAAAATAAAGCTGTACATTTAAGTGACACACTTACAGCACCAGTTTCTCGGGCAGAGCAGTACTCAGCTTTGCAAATGGCTCCAGCAGTGACAACTGATTTAATAGCCAGCAGTGGCAAAGGTCTGAAGAAGATAAAGTCACTCTACAAGGAACAACATAAAGCATTAGAACAGAAATGACATTTCCAGTTGACCTCATTATGTAACTTAAATGTTATTTGACTGAAATGACAAAGTACCTTCATTGAATTACACAGGTGACTATTATCTGTTGGGGTTTTGCAGCACATGTTGCTACAGATATAGTTTCTTCTATAACATTTATTTGCATGCCTTTGACTATACAGTAAAAGCAGTGCTGTAAACATTTACAGTTCCTCACACTTCCTCTATAATTACAGAAAAATTTCAAATCCATGTTCCAAACATATTCAAAAGCTGAATTGCTTTAAGTGCAAAATACCACCTCTGCTGCAGTCAGGTGGAGTCAGTGGGACATACTCCTAGGTCTACCTAGGTCCAACAACTGGATCAATAAAGCCTTGATCTGTGACTCGCCACCATAATGTAGTGGCAACAATCATCATACCAGAATATATGAAATGAATAACTAATTACTTGCCTCAATCAAATCATATTATACCCAGTTGGATTGTGTACCCTTGCTGCCTTGTGCCATTAGCCTGTAAAGCACGATGACAGAAGTCAGAACTCTCACTTAATTTGATACAATGCATTTGTAAGAAACACAATAAAATCATACCAAGACCTTTCTTTATTCCATTCCAAAACAGGTGCCACATTTATGGCTAACTTTCTGTATGAAATAGGTTTTGAGATATCACAAGCAATTTACACCTGAAAAAAAAGAGACGTCATTTAATCTTATTCTCCTAGTGTGAAACTAAAGGAAAAATTATTAATTGAAAGTGCAGAAGAGTAAGCACAAACTGCAGATAAGCACATGCAGCTAAAATGTAATAATTCAGCTCAGTCTTAGACCTCCACCTTTATGAACAAGAATCTCCCTTTTGTCAGAAAAGCTTCTTTTCCTAATAATATCAATCCCTGATGCAGAGTCATGAACAAAATGGGAGCTCACCCATGAGCATGGGAATGAGGAGCTCAGTATTGAAAAGCAGTCTCCACTTCTGTGATAATTAAAAAGCAGACAAGTCAACATTCAGCCAGATATTCCTGCTAAAAACCTATTACCTTATTAAGGAAAGCTAGTAAAATGCCTCTTTCTGTTCATAAACTTACAAAAAGAATTACAAAGAGGCCAATACTTCCCTCAGGTAATTGATACCTTCTTAATGAAACCACACCACTTGTCTCTGCCTTAGTGAAACAACTGCATCATCCCTTTAACTGCCATGACCAAGAAGATAATAATTTTCACTCTTCTCAGTTCTCCAGAAAAAAATCTAATGGTACCTGTGGGAAAAGTAAGAACAGAGACACAGCTATATCACTTCAATTCATTTCAGAGGAGGCATCTTCCTTCTGATGGCAAAAAAAATAATTAAACTTCGCAAAGAGATCACAACAGGCACACATTTGGGAAATGGGAACAAATCTGTTAGGCAGAACAACAGCTTCCTGTACAGAGCTCTGTCATTCAGAGTCTCTTAAAAAAGCTAACCAGCATCCGGAGCTATATCTTGTAATTTCTCAGGTTTAGAGTGGGCCTGAGTTGTACAGCTGTGGGTTCAATCATTTGGAGACCTCTGCATGTGTGCACACAGCTGACAAGAAGCGGGCAGCTGGATCTACTGGTTTGTTTCAAGTTCATCTCTAACATAAATGACTTCACCCTGCTTCTTTTTGTGTAACTCCTTCGGAAAATCACTTTAATAAAATACAAGTGAAAATATCAAGTAGGAAAAACTTAAAATCAAATGGACCTGATTATGACAATGAAGAAAATGAATAAGCAATTCATGATCTAGAAAACGGTAAGACAAAGGCAATGTTGTTGACTTGATCAAGGAAAGGCAAGGTCATTTCATAGTATCTCTAGACTTTGACTACCAGTGGAGGAGAGATCTCTTATCTTTATAGCAAAGAAAGAGAGCAAAATACAAACAGGATTTTATTTTAGGACATAAAGCTATCACTATATTGACATCTAATGGTATTTACTGGCAATATAAAAGAGATGGAAAGGAAAATTACCAGGCAGGAGTCTGAATTGGTGGTTTCTCAATGCCAAAGACTGGAGGAAATTACACAGAAAAAAAAATAGTTTAAGTCTTATTTTAAGAATACCATTTCTGCCTTTTATCAGAATGAATTGTTTTCTCATTTGCTGCTCAGTATTTTATCCGTACAGAAAAATATTGGTATCTGTGTACTGTGTATCAATAGCCAAACCCCACAATAAATCACCTCTAGTCCCAAAAGACAGAGAAGTCGGCAAATGCAAGGTACCACAGACACATCTAAAGAACTTCTGCTAAGCTGCTTCTCACCTTGCAAAGATGTTCAAAATAAAGTATCTCTGCTAAAATAAAGTTCCCTGGTGTAGCTCTACAGCTGTGAAAAAGTAGTTAACACTTAGCATTTAGCATCTGATCAGCAGAATGGGGTTCAGGTCAGGCTCCAGCAACCCCTTCCATCTTGATCTCTGCTGGGCACGTTAACTAGGACTCCTCTGTTGGGGTTATAAGACAAAATTGGGTTGGTTAATGTTCCACGTTCATTTTTTCTTTCGAAAATCTTTCCTAATCCAACTTTTCCCTCATGTTGAGGGAAGAAGTGTATTGTTATAAACACAAAGGTGTCATCTGATAAGTGTGCTTTGAGAATGCCCAGGTAAAGCCCTGTAGATGAGATGATAGCCTGAGGAGGCCTAGTTAATAGCTCCTGATACAGCTTAGGGATCTCACTGTAGGGTCTCTAGATCTTTTGGAAAAGGAAGGACCTTGCACAAGAAGTCTCACTTCTTTTGTAGGACTTTCTGGGAGTCCTCTACATCTTTGATTCCATCTCTAATAGGTGCAGCAATGCAGGGCTGCAGTGCTAAGCAAGCCCAGTGGCATGGGATGGAAAATGCAGGGCTTGGAAGCAGCAACAACACTGGGCAGTGGAAGAAACCACTCGAAACTGAAGTCAGTCACAGCAGACCATTTAGAAAATCTCCAGATGTAATATTACATCTTGAAACTTTAAAAATTGTTTTTCAAGCAAAACTGCTTGTCAAAATCAGCACATTAACTAGCTATTCTGAATTTCTTGATTGCATTATTTATCAAAGAAAAGAAAAGAAAAGAAAAGAAAAGAAAAGAAAAGAAAAGAAAAGAAAAGACTGCTGAAAAAATCTCACCAAGATTTTGCTGCCTATGTTATGGTAATGCAAAATAGCTTCCTTGCATGCCTTATTCAAGTTTTTCTGCATTAACACAGAGCTCAAATAAAATGCATTTAATTTTGACTGCTTAAGCCATTAAGTCTTTTGCAATGCTCTGAGGTAGCCAAGAACTCACACCATAAAAACTTTTAAATCAACAAACTAAATTGTGCCACAAAGTTAACTGTAATGTAGGAAAAAATGCACCTGTGGGATTGTCTTCACGCCAGTACAGTATACCGTGACTAATTTCTGTAAGGGCTATCCGTTGCGGCGTTAAGTCAGCCAAAGGTGTAGGGTTCCTCTCAGAAGGGTGCTAAAGGAGCCTGGGTGACAACGAGGCACCTGCTTCCCAAGGGACCAAGTGCCCTTCGTCCCCAGGGCGTCCTGGTGGCTTCCAGCAGACGGGCAAACCTGGCCTGCCAGGCTCTGCAGAGCCCGAGCGGATGCAGGACCAAGCTGTGCCGTTTTGGGAGCAGTGACAGCAGCAGCACTTTCTGTTCCCGCAGCCCGAAACGAGCACTTCCCTCATCGCCAAACTATCGCCACCTGATGATCCCCTTTTAGATATCCATTACGATCACTGCCTATTTTGTCTGTGGAGAGCTACTGCTCACATTTGGATAAATCTGTGAAATTGAGAGGCCGGAATATCTTATCCCTGATATTCACTGTATCAGGCACTGTGTAGCCTCTGCTTAATTTTCTCACAAATACAGACACAGACTCCAGGGTGGAAGTTTAAGAGCGAGCTGGGGAAAGCCCCAAGCTTCCCTCTCTTTTCCCACCTGGGGGTGAAATCAGCTTCATTCCTCACATACCTGTTGAACAGCTCTTACCCCTCCTCAGGACACCCGTGAGCTTAAATCTATCCTGCCCAAGCAAGAGAAACCTGAGGATGGCCGAGGGGTGACCCAGCGTGTTGCGTACCCGGCGGCTCTTGGCACGTGTCGCTCGGCGGGACGATGGCTGCCGGGACGACTCCTCAGTAACCAGACACGGG